AAGGTCTTCCTTTGCCGTTGGTTCACCTTCCAATGGCCAGCGCGCCGCGCTGATCCGAAGGCAGGAGCCAGGTGCTTCTCCTTGTCTTCCATGGGGTGCAGGGCCCAAGCACTTGGGCCATCCTCCACTGCACTCCCTGGCCACAGCAGAGAGCTGGCCTGGAAGAGGGGCAACCAGGACAGAATCCAGCACCCCGACTGGGATTAGAACCCGGTGTGCCGGCGCCACAAGGCAGAGGATTAGCCTATTGAGCCGCGGCGCCAGCCTCTAGCGTCTTCTTAAAACTCATCTCTCTCTGTCTGTCTGCCAAACAAATAACAGTAAAAATAAGACATTTTTAAAATTAAGAAATTAAAAAAGAAAAGACCCAGAGAAGTTAAGTGAGTCACAGAAGAACACACAGTGACTTGGCTGGGAGGAGCCCACGTCACCCGTCACCCGTCACCTAGGCTTGCAGCCTAGGGCTTTCCCTGCTGTTCAGAATTAAGGGACCTTCTTATTGCTGGCATCATTAGGATACCACCACTCTGTGCTCCTTCTACACAGCAAGAGCCCTAGGGCCTCAGGGTCACCTCCCACCACCACGAAAATGAACTCAGATCATTTCCGGCCACTCTGTTTACTCATCTATAAGTTCAAGTATGTTCTAAAAAAAAAATACACTTCCCAAGAGACAGTTCCCCTAAAAACGTCCCCTGGGCTTCACACCACAAAAATCACCCTCACAGTAGAGAGAAATAGAAACTGCCCCAGCTACACTGAGCAGCCTCCAGGTAGGTCCCTCGTCAGCGCCACAGGCAAATGTCAGGAGCGCTTTTTTAAAATTACTTTAAAATTTATTTTTATTTATTTGGAAGGCAGAGAGAGAGAAAGATCCAGAGAGAGACAGATCTCATCCTCTGGTTCACTCCTCAAACATCATCAACAAGCCAGGTGAAAGCCAGGAGCCAGGAACTCAACCCAGGTATCCCACAGGGTGGCAGGGACCCGACTACTTGAGACATCACCACTGCCTCCCAGTGTGTAGGTCAGCAGGAAACTGGATTTCAAGCAGAGGAGCTGGGACGGGAACCAGACACTGGGACTGGGGTTGTGCATGTCTAAGGCAGGGTCTTAGCCGCTGCACCAATATCCTGCCCCCTCTGTGCCCACCTCGCTATGTGCTCACCAGCCATGCCCTGATGCTTTACGGCCCCGCAGTGTTTAACGAGATATCCATGCAGTCGGGACCCAGCAGTTACCGCTGGAGTGGAAATCAGACTCAAATGACTTTTTCTGCTGAAATTCCAGAACAGGGTCAGTAGCCCACAACCATGGGGCCAACTCTGGTCTGTTTTTCAAATACCCGTATCTGACTATCTGCTTTTGTAAATGGAGTTTGTTGGAATGCTGCCACATTCATGTGTTTATGTATTGTCTGGGGGTGATTTTATGAAAGGAGAGTTGAGTAATTGCAACAGAAACCATATGACTTGCAACGGATAAAAAAAAATGCCCTTTGACCCCTTATAGAAAGGTTAGCTGACCCCTGGTCGGGAGTCACAGTGTGGTAGGGATAGATAAACCACTTTCCAAATCCTGCTTTCTGTTTGCTCCCAATTGATGCTTAAGAGGTGGGGAAAAGCACAGATCCAGAAAGATCTTGCTAAACCCAAACACTTACCAAAACCAATTACAGCTGTTTCCTTTTAAGACCAATGTGTTTGTTAATAGGGAAATTTTTTTTTGGGGGGGGATATATTCAGGTGCCTTTCTCTTTTGCATTTTCTGGTTTCCCTCTATTCAGCCAGATGTACCCATATTATCTAAAAGATAGGATTGTCACAACAGGAAGGCAAAAACAAAGAAATAGTTGATATTTTGCTTCAACATCCAAAATAAGGTTTTCCATCAGGACAATAATTTTTTTAAAAGATTTTAAAACATTTATTAGAGAGAGGTAGATGGCCGACGCCGTGGCTCACTTGGCTAATCCTCCGCCTGTGGCGCCGGCACACCGGGTTCTAGTCTCGGTTGGGGCACTGGATTCTGTCCTGGTTGCTCCTCTTCCAGTCCAGCTCTCTGCTGTGGCCCAGGAGTGCAGTGGAGGATGGCCCAAGTGCTTGGGCCCTGCACCTGCATGAGAGACCAGGAGGAAGCACCTGGCTCCTGGCTTCAGATCAGCGTGGCGCGCTGGCCGTAGCGGCCATTTGGGGGGGGGGGGGTGAACCAACAGAAGGAAGACCTTTCTCTCTGTCTTTCTCTCACTGTCTAACTCTGCCTGTCAAAAAAAAAAAGAGAGAGAGAGAGAGAGAGAGAGACAGAGAGACAGAGAGTAACAGAGAGAGAGAGAGTCTTCCATCTGTTGTTTCACTCCCCAAAATGGCCACAACAGCTGGAGCTGGGCTGGTCTGAAGTCAGCAGCCAGGAGCTTCTTCTGGTTCTCCCACAGGGGTGCAGGGGCCCAAGGACTTGGGCCATCCTCTACTGCTTTCCCATGTGCATTAGCAGGGAGCTGGATGGGAAATGGAACAGCCAGGACTTCAACCAGAGCTCATATAGGATGCTGGCACTGCAGGCCAGGGCTTTAACCTGCTGCACCACAGTGCTGGGCCCAAGACAATATTTTTTGACAGCCAGGTTTTGTTGGGAGAGGGTTTTATTTTGTTTTTGTTTTTGTTTTTTTAGAAGATTTATTTACTTATTTGAAAGGCAGAGTTTCAGAGAGGTAGAGGCAGAGAGAAAGCGAGCGAGAGAGAGAGGTCTTCCATTCACTGGTTCACTCCCCAGATGGCCGCAACAGCCAGAGCTGGGCCAATCTGAAGCCAGGAGCCAGGAGCTTCTTCTGGGTTTCCCATGTGGGTGCAGGGGCCCAAGCGTCTGGGCCATCTTCTACTGCATTCCCAATCCATAGCAGAGAGCTGGATCGGAAGTGGAGCAGCCAGGACTCCGAACCAGTGCCCATATGGGATGCCGATGCTGCAGGCAGCGGCTTTACCTACTATGCCACAGCGCCAGCCCCATTATTTTCTTTTTCAAAATATTTATTTATCTATTTGAATGGCAGAGTGTTAGAGAGAGAGAAAAGGACAGAGAGAGACAGAGATAGATATCTTCCATCGTCTGGTTCACTCCCCAAATGGCTGCAACAGCCAGGGCTGGGCCAGGCTGAAGCCAGGAGCCAGAAGCTCCTGGCTCTCTCACATGTGTTCAGGGGCCAAAGCACTTGGGCTACCCTTCACTGCTTTCCCAGGCCATTAGCAGGGAACTGGATTAAGTAGAGCAGCTAGGTGGCAGCTTTACCCACTGTGCCATGGTTCTGGCCCCTGAAAGAGGATTTTCTAAATTTACTTCCCCTTTGAATTATTATTATAGAGTTCCACATAAGAGTCATAGTAGCAAAACAAGAAGAGAAAGCAAGAGTGAGTATGTGGCACAGTGGTTAAGACACTGCTTGGGATGCCTGCATCCCATGTCTGAGTGCCTGGGTTCAAGTCCCTACTCTACTTCTGATTCAGCTTCCTGCTGATGTATGCCTGGGAAGTACCAGGTGATGGTGCAAGTACTTGGTCCTCTGCACCATGTGGGAGACCTGAATTGAGTTCCTAGCCTCTTTGTGCTTCTGGTTCCTCACTTGTAATCATATGTTGCCTGCTCCCCAGTATTGTGATGAAAACTAATTAAGGTGAGTAGGCATTAAAATGCTTTCCAACAGTGCTTAGCATATGGCAGTAGTACTATGTGGATGAGGGCAATAAATATTACTGCAAGTTGTTGAAGGAAAACTGGGAAAAGAGCACATTGTATGTGTCACTCTCCTTGGGAAATCTGGGAGATTACCCCCATGCCCTTCTCCAACCTGGGACAATCACACCAAAGCAAATTGCTTGCCAGAAGTGGAGCCGAACCTGCCCTTCTCTAATTCTCTCGTGCCCTGGAGGATCAGGGATGTCAGTAGGGTCTGTCTCTGACAGGAGAGTTTCCAGAGAGATCATCTCAGAGAGGTGGACCACCGAACTGGCACCACAAAGCCAGGATTCAGGTCGCTCCACACCACCATAAGAGCCAAGGTAGGACAGTCAAGTCAACCAAAGAGACCGCTGGATCCTTTTCACAGAGTGAAAAGACCCTGAGTTACCCTGGCCTCAGATGTCGGCGACCCATGCCAGCAGGAGGCCTAGGAGCAGGTCCTAGCAGTCAGCAGCCCAGGAGCCACACAGCAGGAACCAGCAGAGGTGGAGACGGCACAGGACAGATCCACGGCCCATCACCCTTCACTCCTCCTCTACACCTGGTATCCATCTTTAGCAGACAGCAGCGGGAATCTGGAGGACTGGGTGTCCTCACCTGGACTGCTCACCACTGAAATGATTAGATACCACTCTGCTAATTAGATTACACTAAAATATCCTCATGCCATGCCCAGACCCTCAATCACACCAATGTCCAACAGAGGGCAACTTATAAAGACACTGAGTAGAAATTTGCTCGCTCTCTCTCTCTCTCTCTCTCTCTCTCTCTCTCTGTGTGTGTGTGTGTGTGTGTGTGTGTGTGAATGTGGTAGGAGTAAATTTGTGACTCTAGTCCTCTCCCTACCCCTGCCCCTGCTGCTTTAAGCTCTGAATGGGGATTGCTCCCATGACATCTTCCTTGTCCTGCTTAGTCACAACACTTCCACCACCCACCCACACACACACACAAGCCTGGGTCTAAAACTAGCTTCAGGAACAAGACAACCGAGCCTTAGGCTCTAAGGTAAATAGGAGGAAAAAGGACTTTCCAAAAAAAGACTCACTCCTGGGAGCTTTATTTTAAAAGTAGGAAAAATGCAACTACTTGCATAAACAAGACTCAAAAAATACAACTTTCCTTGCTCAGTCTCTCTCTCTCTCTCTTTCTCTCATTAATCAAGAGAGAAGTTGAGGATATCCAACAATCTAACTATTAAAAAATCTTGTTTACTCACTGTGTACAATAAGGCTGATGTTTTAGGAGCCTATTAGGTAAACTACCATTTTTTTTTCTTTTTAACTCCTAGAGACAGAGGCAATAAATCAAAGAACCACAGAAATCTCTCAGCCTTTGTCTTGAGATCAAGTGGGGGCCACCTCACTCCTGGCCACTGGAGACCCTTGCACCAGTATGAACTCCGACAACGCCCTCAAGCTGCTGCTCCGTGTCCTTGATAAATACAGTGTTTCTTTGCCAGTAAGAAAGCCATTAGCTCAAAGCAGGCTGCGTGGCCTCAGATGGCACCACTAGGATTCAAGGGGCATTGTCACTACCAACTCAATGGGCCACTTAGCAGTGAGCCATGGGCCACCTCCTGAAGTGCACATATATGCACACACATACACACAAACCTGCACGTGTGCTTGCGGTCACCTCCCCCAGGGGCTGAGGCCGGGCCGGGCATCCCACATCACAAGGCTGAATAGCAGGTCTGTGCTGCCTGCTGTGTGCTCTCTCCCCTCCTAAGCCAGCGGCAGACAGGCAGGGAGTGAAGCTGGAGGAGCCCACGCAGTCTGCTCCCGGTTCCGTGCCTGCGAAGGGACCCAGGGCAGCCAGATGGAATCAGAAAGAGAAATCAGCGACCTTCAAGTAAGTCCTCTCTGGGAGTGAGGGAAGGGGAAATCGGGAGCAGAGGCAAACAGAGGATTCACATTTTGATCACTAGGCTCTGCCCTCTTTCTTACTCACCCCCTTCTTCAGAATCTCTCCAATTTTTGTCGTGTTTTTCTCTGTTACCCTATCTGGTTCTTCACTTGCTTTGAAACATGTGAGAAACGGATTTTTTTCAGTCCCCTCCTGACCTCTGCTTCGTCTTGTCCATCAAAAGCTAATGAGCTCTATGTTACCAGAGAGTGATTTCACATTCCGTGCAGTGCTTTTCCCAAAACCCCAGGACAGTGGAGGCCTATTTCAGTGCAGCCAGACATTTCTCTGGAGTCCAGGCAAGATATGAGTTTGGGAGCTAAGAAGAGAGGCAGTTGGCCAAGTTTGCATTTTACAGGTTGGGAAAAACTGGAGCCATTCCTTGGCTGCGACAAGGCTCTCCTGCATAGGAGAGGAATTGCCTCCCTGGTACAGTGCAAGCAAAGGAAATTACAGTAATCTCCCAGGCAGATGCAGAGTCCTGTGTCCTCAAATCTGGCACTGGTATCAGAGGTGCCATGGACTAGCGCAGGCCAAGCGAATGGCATGTGACGGCAAGAAGGGGATCTGCACTCCCTGACTTGACTCCCACGGAGCAGAAGCCACTTTTCCATAACCCTGGCAGAATATGGGAGAACTTCTCAGAGACTTGGCCAATTGCAGAGCAGCAAAGGATGTTTGAGATTAAGAATTTTTGAGTGCAGAACCCAGTCTGCAAACAAAATATTAAGCGGGAACCCAGTGTATGAGGGTACTTCAAAAAGTTTGTGGAAATACAGGTAAAAGATATCTTTATTTTGATGCAAAAAATTTTGAAAGCCATGAATATGGAGGGGTCTTCAAAAAGTTTGTGGGGGACCGGCGCTGTGGTGCAGTGGGTTGGACTGGCACCTGCAACTCTAATATCCCATGTGAGCACTGGTTCGAGTCCCGGCTGCTCCACTTCTGATCCAGCTCCCTGCTAATATGCCTGAGAAAGCAGCAGAAGGAAGTTACTGGCCAGGCCTGATAAAGGTGTCTGTCTTTAGCAGGTGACTAAAGTGCTGCCTCTTCTTTCTCCACCCACACTTCCTCCTCCTTCATTAGACTAATTATCTCTCTCTCAGTATACTGTGTTATTCCAGTAGCTCATCCACAACTTTCTTCGGTTATTTATTAATTTGATGGGTCAGAAGTTTGTGCATTACTGACTACAACTTCCCATCCAGCTCTGTGGATTAAATTAGGTTGTGAATCCCTTTGGGAAACTAAGTGTGATCTTTTGAGAAGAAGGTGCGCTTTGGTTAGGGACAGGTGGCGGCAGCTGTCCCTGAGAAACATGACTTTGTCCTCTCCTTTACACGAAGTTCAGAGGAAGGCTTCGTGAAATCACATATGGAATAAATGCTAGTTCTTTCTCTGTTTTCCTTTGATGATTTCCCTGGGGATGGTAAAGATCTATGGACTGTAGCTGAACCAGTGCATCCATCCATTCAGCTAATATTTACTGATCAATGATTACATATTTAATTCCATGTTTTCTCAGTATATAATTTTGCTCTCTTGTGACCAAAGACTAATTCTTCAACTTTAAATGTGTTATTCATGCCAGGAAAGACACATAGAAAGTATGTGGATGTCTTACTGTTTTTCATCCTGTTATTAAGAAAACCCCTTAGGGGACAGGGTTGTTGTGCAGTGGGTTAGGCCACTGCCTGTAACACTGGCATCCCATATGAGTGCCTGTTCACATCCTGATTGCTTCATTCCCATTCAGCTCCCTGCTAATATGCCTGGGAAAACAGCAGACAGCCCAAGTTCTTGGGCCCCTGCCACTCTGGAACTTCCGGTTTCTGGCATTGGCCTAGCCCAGGCCCAGCTGTTGTGGCCATCTGGGGAGTGAACCAGTGGACAGAAGATCTCCCTCTGTCTGTCTCTTCTTTCTCTGTAACTCTACCTCTCAGATAGATATATAAATATATATATATAAATTATATATAAATATATATGTATAAATCTTTTAAAAATTCCTTAGGAATACAAGAGTTATAGATAAAATACTCTCGAAGTATTTTTTATTTTTAAATGTACATATATGGAGCAATTTTAGATTCACAGCAACATAGAGAAGAATGTGCAGACCTCTTATACAACCCCATCATCTCCACCTGCAGAGACTCCACAATGATCAATATCCCCCACATTTAAAAAAATTGGTGACTCTATGCTGACATGTTGTTACCAGCCAAAGTCAGCAGTTTACGGGGTCCACTCTTGATGTTGCACTTGCTATGGGTTTGGACAAATGCATAATGACATGTGCCCACCACTATCATATTCTGCAGAGTATTTTTCACTGCCTTAAAAATCCTCTGGGTTCTGCCTATTCATCTTTTCTTCCCCTCCCAACCCCTGGCAACCACTTATCTTTCTACTGTCTCCAAAGCTTTGCCTCTTCCACATACCATGTAATTGGAATCACACAATATGTAACATTTTTCTTTCACTTGGTAATATTCATTTAAATTTCTTCCCTGTCTTTTCCTGACTTTTTAGCTCATTTATTTTTTTATTTTTTAAATTTTATTTTTAAAAAAGATTTATTTATTGGGGCTGGCACTATGGCATAGAAGGTTAAGCCTCTACCTGCCGTGCCGGCATCCCATATGAACACTAGGTCAAGTCCCAGCTGCTCCACTTCCAATCTGGCTCCCTACTAATACGCTTAGAAAAGCAGTAGAAGGTAACCCAAGTACTTGGGCCCCTGCATCCATGTGGGACACCTGTAAGAAGCTCCTGGCTCCTGGCTTTGGCCTGGCCCAGTCCCAGCCATTGCAGCCATTTGGGGAGTGAACCAATGGATGGAAGACAAGAGAAAGAGGCGGGGGGGGGGGGGGGATCTGCTATTTATGTGAAATACAGAGAGAGAAGGAGAGAAAGATAAAGATATCTTTCACCTATTGGTTCTCTCCCCAAATAGCTGCAATACCCAGGGCTGGGCCAGGCCGAAGCCAGGAGCCAGAAGCTGCATCTGGATCTCTTATGCAGGTGCAGGGCCTAAGTACTTGGGCCATCTTCCACTTCTTTCCCAGGTACATTAGCAGGAAGCTGGATCAGAAGTGGAGCAGCCTGGACTAGAACCAGTGCTGATATGGGATGCCAGCATTGCAGGCGGTGGCTAAACCTGCTATGCCACAATGCTGGCCCAGGTTGGTTTCTTAATGTTGAGTTTTGAAAGTGAGTTCTTTGGATATTTTGAACAACAGTCCTTTATCAGCAGTATCTTTTACAAATATTTTCACCCAGTATGTGACTCATCTTCATGTTTTCTTGACATTATGTTCCACAAAACAGAAGTTCTTAACTTTAATGAGGTCCAGGTTATCCTTTGTGTCTTTTATGGATCATGTCTTTGGTGTTGTGTCTAAAAAGTCATAGACATAGGCAAGGTCAGCTATATTTTTCCTATGTTATTATCTCTGAATTTCTTGCTCCTACATTTTATATTTAGGTTCCTCTTCCATTTTTAGTTACTTTTGTGAAGGGTGTGAGTCTGTAAACAGATTCATTGTTTGTGGATGCTTGGTTGTTTCAGCACCATCTGCTGGAAAGACTCTCTTTTCTCCATTTGATTGCCTTCCTCCTTTGTCAAAGATACGTTGACTATATATAGGTGAGTTTATTTCTGGACTCTGTATTGTGTTCCGATGTTCTGTTTGTTGATTCCTTTGCCAGTGTCACACTGTACTGATTACTGTACCTGGGTCAGTCCTCCAGCCTTGTTCTTCAATGCGGTGGTGGTGGTTCTTGGCCTTTTGCCTCTTCAGATAAACTTTAGAACCAGTTTGTTGATAGATAGCTACAAACATCTCTCTGAGATGCAGAGAGAGACAGAGACAGAGACAGAGAGAGGCACACAGACAGACAGCTGCCATTCACTGGGTCACTTACCAAATGCTCCTAATTGGTCAGGGCTGAAGCCAAAGATGGGAGTCGGGAACTCAGTCCGGGTCTTCCACTTGATGACAGGAACACAACTACTTGAACCATCACCTGCTGCCTTCCGGGACGTGCATTAACAGGAAGCTAGGGGGCCGGCGCCATGGCTCACTTGGCTAATCCTCCACCTGTGGCACCAGTATCCCATATGGGCGCCAGGTTCTAATCCTGGTGGCTCCTCTTCCAGTTCAGCTCTCTGCTGTGGCCCAGGAGGGCAGTGGAGGATGGCCCAGGTGCTTGGGCCCCTGCACCCACATGGGAGACCAGGGGGAGGCACCTGGCTCCTGGCTTCAGATCGGCACAGTGCGCCGGCCATGGTGGCCATTTGGGGGGTGAACCAGCGGAAAGAAGATCTTTCTATCTGTCTCTCTCTCTCTCTCAGTCTGACTCTATCTGTCAAACAAACAAACAAACAAACAAAACAGGAAGCTAGAATTGAGAACAGAGCCTGGACTCAAACCCAGGGTGTATTTCTCTCTCTCTCTCTCTCTCTCTCTCTCTCTCTCTCCTACTTATTTAATTATTTGAAAGTCAGAGTTACGGAGAGAGAGAGGGACAGAGAGAAAGAGAGAGATCTTTTCACTCCCCAAATGGCCACAATAGCCAGTACTGGGGCCAGACTGAAGCCAGAAGCCAGGAACCAGGAGCTTCATCCGGCTCTCCCACATGGGTGTGGGTGCAGGAGTCCAAGCACTTGGGGCATCTTCCACTGCTTCCCCAGGCACATTAGCATGGAGCTGGATTGGAAGTGGAGCAGCCAGGACTCAAACAGGGGCTCATATGGGATGCCAGCCCTGCAGACGGCAGGTTAACCCACTGTACCATAGTGCCAGCCTCCAGGGACTCTTATATGGGGTGCAGAAGTCCCAAGCAGCATTTTAATCACCGAGCCAAATAAATGCTTATCCCAGAACTTCAGACTTTGGATACTAATGTAAATGATGCTGATTTTAATTTCAGATCCTACT